GACATCTATACCACCGGGTAAGTATTTTAAAAATGTTTTCATGTGCCCGGCTAGCAATGGAAAGGGAGTGGGTGAGGACAAAGGACTTCTCCCAGTCAGCTGGAGCTATAGATGCATCTAGTTCCCGTTCCCAGGCCATTGTGTAGTTAGGTAACTCGGATGAGGCGGCGAGGGAAAGAATAGAGTAGAGAAGAGAGACGGTATGCTGCAGGGGCGTAGAGGCCAGTAGAAGGGAGTCAAAGGCCGTCTCGTCTCTCTCAAAGCCATCAGGGCCTCCTAAAGAGGAGATGTAGGATCTAAGTTGTCCTTCCGCCATTCAGGTCCCCGGGCCGGGGTCCGCGTGAGCGTCAACAGACGAGGCTCCATCGTGGAGCGCCAAGACTACGCTGCGGTGGGAAGCCCTTGTCCACCTCCCAAAAGAAGGTCCTATCAGAGCAGTGGGAAAGGCCGGACTCCCGAACAGAGGGGTCATCGGGCCCACCGGGTGTGAACAGTCAATTAGGGAAGAGAGGCAGCAGTTGGTCTGGAACCCAGCGGGACCCAGGGTAACGCTGTGACGGACCCCCAGCCACCAAATCCCCTGTCACCAGAGACCCCTCTAGTTGGGCCCACTGCTTCTCCCCCGCTCCGTGGAACCAATCAACTATCCGAATCAGGACAGCCGAGGCGTGGTAGAGGAAGATGTCTGGTGCCCCTGCCCCCGCCCCTACGCTTCGGGAGAGCAAGTGATCTGTATCTAAGATGTGACCTTGTTGAGCCCCACACAAAGTTTGCAAAGATCTGTTGGACCTGCATCAGGTAGGAAGATGGCAAACTTATGGGCAACGTCTGGAACAGATAAAGAAACCTGGGAACAATGTCCATTTTTAGAGTGTTAATTCGGCCCAGCCAGGATATGTGCTTGCGGTCGTATGTGGCAAGATCTTGTGTCACCCTCTCCAGTAGGGGGCGAAAGTTGGCAGAGTACAGATCCACCTGGTCCGTTGTGAGAATTATCCCCAGGTATTTTAGGGAGGTGGAGCATAGACGAAAGGGGTAGTTGGTAGTCAGGAGGTGTAGGTCCGCTGCCCTCAGGAATACATTGAGGATTTCTGATTTAGCGAGGTTGACCCGGAAGTTACTCAGGGAGCTAAAGTTCTGGAATTCACGTAGTATTATGGGCATGGCTATATGGGGATGAGTCACATAGAGCAACAGGTCGTCCGCGAACAATGCGAGTTTATGTTGGTGGGTCCCCACCCTTTAGCCCTGGAAAGCACAGTTCTGCCTAAGTGCTACCGCCAGGTGTTCCATGGTGAGGACATAGAGTAGGGGGGACAATGGGCAGCCCTGCCTAGTGCCATTGGAAATCTTGAAGCTCGGGGAGAGTGCCCCGTTCACCCGGATTTTAGCTTATGGGTAAGAATACAGGGCCATTATGTTCCTCAACATGGCGGGTGAAATCCCCAGCTGTATCAGAGAAAGGCGGAGGAAGTCCCAGTCAAGACGGTCAAACGCCTTGTCCGCGTCCACGGATAAGAGGCAGAGTGGTGTACCCGAGGTTTTGGCATAATGCATCAACAGGAGCATCCAAATGGTGTTATCTGGGGCCTCCCTCCCCTGGACGAACCCCACTTGATCCCTGTGGATTACGTCTGGGAGTAGTGGTGTTAGTCGGTTGGCAATAAGTTTGGCGAATAGTTTCACATCCACATTAAGGAGTGATATCGGCCTGTAGTTGGTGCAGAGGGTGTGATCCTTATCCGGTTTAGGGATCAATGAGATATGGGCCTCCAACGCCTGAGCCGGGAAGTAGGACCCTAGGGCAATAGAGGTGAACACCCTCAGAAGGAAGGGGGCTAGCTTGTCACGGAATAAGGTGTAACATTTTACCGTAAACCCATCCGGTTTAATGTCCCTCGGGGTTGCGGCTCCTCCCGACTGCGTTCCAGGCTGGGGCGCATCGACCAGGGAGGCAGGCCTCCTCCCCCTTGACGGAAGCTACTGTGCGTTCCAAGCTGGAACGCGGAAGTAACCCGTGGCCGCGTGACATCACGGCCGCGGGCTATTTAAACCTGCCAGAGATGATGTGGGGTGTTCGATGATTGGGATCATAGCCCAAACAATCCAGGAACCTCACCCACCTGCCTCGAACCCTCCCGAACGGATCCCAACATATCCCCTGCAGCCAGCCTCCACTGGGCTCCCCTTGAATGCAGCTGATCGCTCTTACAACCAAACCGCAAGTATCTGCTAAGTCTACTCTACACTTGTGTTGGTTCATATACGCTGCCCCCTAGTGGAGACTCACGGTATCAACTCTCCTCAATGCAATACAATTCCACATATGCTGTCTAAAGGGGATTGCTTCTGTTATCTGACATAGAGACTGTCTTATCCGATTGTACCACAATTCCAGATAGGATTGCCAAGTTGGGGAATATGAATTAATATTCTTTATTCTACTTCGCCTTTTACTACTGATTATTGTTTAGCGATCCATGATGACTAAATCCCAAACTCTCCGTTTATGATTGAGAGAGCAGCCTGGGATTTTAGCCTGACAACCGCACTAAACAACTGTTGGAACCGCAGCTGTGATCCACCATACTATTTCCAAGGACGGGCCCTGACATCCGGTCCTGGACTCTTACCCATGGGTGCCGACTGGAGGACTGATAGCAGTTCCGTCATAGTAAAGGGTGACTCCAATGCCTCAGCATCAGAGTCTCCCAGGGTCGGGAGGGCCGTGCTTTGGACATAGGCCGACATGTCTGCGGCCCGGTCCGGGGTAGATGTGCTCTGTTGCGATAGGTTGTATCGGGAGTTATAGAAGTCCGTGAATGCAAGTTGGATATCTGAGGGTGTACTCACTAGGATACCGGACGCGGCCTGTATGTGTGGGACATATCTGGGGTGTAGGATCCTAGCCAGAGCCCTTCCACACTTGTCCCTAGTGACATACGCCCTAAGGGTCAGTTTGTCTGCATATCTGCGGGCGGACAGATCAAGGAGCCTAAGGAGGTGTTGCCTGGCCTGAGACGTACGCAGTAAGAGGTCCTGCGAGGGCGAATGTTTGTGTTAAGTCTCCAGGGCTGACATGGTTTTGAGAGCCTCCATAATGAGATGGGAGCGCTGCTTCTTTAGTCTAGTGCCCTGTTGGATGTAATGCCCCCCCGGGACCGCTTTCAGCGCTTCCCACTGAAGGGGAAGTGGAGTAGGATCTGAGGCATGTGCCTCCAGAAAATGGGTGATCTCAGCCGAGATAGCAGAGGAACATTGCGGATCAATTAGTAGGGACTCATTAAGTCGCCAATTCCACGCTCGTGCCGGGGCCTGGGCTACTTGTAGGGAAAGCGTGACAGCCGCATGGTCTGACCATATCACGGGGCCAATGTCACTCACCGGGTTCCAGTCAAGCAAATGGTGTGAAATGAAAAAATTGTCCAACCTGCTATAGGAGTGGTGGGGTGTAGAATAGTGAGTATAGTTGCGTGCCCGTGGGTGTAGTACTCGCCAGACATCCAGTAGGCGGAGGTGGGTCACCGCGCTGTTTAATCCTGCAGAGTTTGGGGAAAGATACCGTGGATCGACCATTCGACGAGTCCAGGCTGGGTTCTAGAGCCAGATTAAAGTCCCCACCCACCAAAAGTGATCCCTCTGCAAAGTCCTCTATAGCCCTCAGGTATTCAATGGTGGCTGCAGTTTGATCCGTATTGGGGAGGTATAGATTGGCGAGGGTGAAGATCCTACCCCAGAGGGAGACTTTCAAGATAAGGTATCTACCAAAGGGGTCCATCCGGTGGTCCACCACCGTCGCTGGAAGAGATTTGTGGAGGGCAATGGAGACTCCCCTAGATTTGTGGTTGGCATTGGTACTATGGTACCATGTGGAGAAATACCTGTTGGCACAGGAGGGGACCTGGTCAGTTTGGAAATGCGTCTCCTGAAGCATAACAACATTAATCTTGTTCTTATGCATGTGGTACATTATCTGACCCCTCTTTGAGGGGATGTTGAGGCCTCTGGCATTGTATGTGCAGAGCCGCAGCTTCTCAGACGCTGGTGATGTCAGGGCCATGGCAGGGGGCAGGGGGAAGAGGGGGAGGGGAAAGAGATATAAGTAGTAGTTTGTATCAGAACCAGTAAGGTCGAGGTGGTGTGGGTTTTAGTGGGTAAGGGTGCAGAGAGAAGGAAAAAAGAAGAGAAGTAAGAGTTTCAAGGACAAGTTGACAAGGAAGAGGTGAACCAACACAAATTTAAACTTAAAAGGGCGGATAAAACCTGCTACGTATAGGATAAACCGTCTAGCAAAGCTAGAGTACACTGTCTCCAGCAGGAGATGTGTCTCCTATGTGGGGGATGTGGTCAAACAAGGGGGTAGCAAGATGCCTACCGGGGCCCCTAGTCTGACGACACCTAGGCAATAACAGGATTGCCCCCGTTCAACGAAGTACAGATAAATATAATATAAAACTGTAAAAAGTGTTTGAACCATGCAAGTCTATAAAAGTATAACTTCGAGTACATATATCAGTATGGGCCCACCCGGCCCCTGACTCCGAGCATCCAAGTAGGGCACCCCGGAGGGAGACAGCCGTGCCCCAAAGGTAGGAGCGACCCTGCCCCCTCCCAGGCACCACGCAGGCACAGAAATAAGTAGGAGTTTCAAAAAAATTGCGTTAAACAGCCTAAATCACATAAATACCCAGCAACAAAATAGGTCTTCTTGAGGGCATCTATTGGTAATCTCCATCAACACCCCCCCTCCCACAGGAGCCGGCTGGAGTCCCATGCCCCACCTCTTCCCCAGGGGCCTCACCGGGCGGAACGCGAGCGAGCCCGTCTGCGTCGTTGAGGAAGGGCCTCCTGGAGCATGGTACCCTCTTCGGAGAACGGTAATTCCAGCCAATCAGGGACAGTCACCGGGTCAGACCCCAGGAAGCCGAACAGATCCGGGAGTTGAGATGGGAAGCGTAGATGAAATGATTCAGGGCCCTTACGGATCTGTATGTTGAAAGGGTGTCCCCAGCGACAGGAAGCCCCAACTTGGCGTATGACATCTAGCAACGGCCGCACCACTCTATGCATAGCCAGGGTAATGCGAGAGAGATCCGGGAGAAGTTGTATGGATGCTCCATCAAAGTCCACCAGGCCCAATCTCCATGCAGCGCGGAGGATCTCTTCCTTAATGGCATAGAAATGTACCCGGCAGAGAACATCCCTGGTTCTGTTAGGGTTGCCCATGGCGATGCCCGAGACCCGGTGAACCCTGTCAAGCTCGATGACATCAGTAGGAGGTTTGCCAAGCGCCTGGTTAAGGATAGCAGTTACCGTAGCATGCAGGTCAGCGCTCTGGGTGGCCTCTGGGATCCCCCTCAGGCGGATGTTGTTGCGGCGACTCCTGTTTTCACCATCCTACACTCTTAGATGTAGCTGCTGGAGATGGGACCGATGGGCTGCCTGAGCTGTTTCTAGGGTCCCCAACCGGGTCTCCTGGGCTGATACTGAGTCTGATAAGGCTGTAAGCCGTGAGTCTGTGGCAGTGACCCTTCGGCTGAGCGCATTCACCTCTCCCCTCAGAGCCCCCTCCAGTCTCGTGGCCCATGTATCAAAGTCTGCCCGAAAGGCAGCAAACAGGTCACGTACCTCAGTGGCTGCAGATTGCTCTGAGTCCAGGAAGACAGGTGGGATCGAAGGGTCCAGGGGGGTTGAGGAGGGTGCCTGGGTCCCAGAGGAGTGAAGAGGCTGCAAGAGATCCTGTGTTCTCATCCCCCCTGTGCTTAAGGAACGAAGGCTTGAGGCCGGCGTCTGCGGCTGCAGGTGCTCTGGTCCCGCCTTTCGTGACTGGCGCCATATTGCGGCCTAATGTGACAGTGGCTGCGTCCGGATGCCTCATGAAGTAGGAGGCGATGTCCCGGGTAAGTGAAGAGACAGGGGCGCCGGGTGAGTCTTTGTCGTCGGGCATAGGGGGGGAGAATCTGTTAGTTCTGCTGAAAAGTCAGTGTTAGGGAGCCCCGGTGCAGCAGAGCTCGCGGCTGCACGTCCTCACACCACCATGGTTAGCCACGCCCCCCGTTAGTTAGTTTAAATGCTCCTCCAGTCTTTTAACTATTTTTCCCCCCAGAAATGATGCACACTCCCCATTAAGATGCAGCCCGTTTCGGCTGTAGAACCGGTAGCCGACTGCACCGGCAGTATCTCAAAGAATGCTGCTGTGGAGGTCCTTTCCTGCAGTCTATCACCTAGGTCTCTGAACCCCTTTTTTAGGACACTCCAATTGCCCTACCCCATCCAGTAATCTGTCAATACGTTCCGCAATGTGCCGAACATGAGCTCCAGGTAAGCAGCACACTGTTCGGCGCTCGCGATCCCGATAACAGATTACCCCGTCTGTCCGCTTGATGATGGAGTCTCCAACCACCAAGATCTGCCTCTCCTGCTCCTCCATCCTGCTCCCCTCCATGCTAAAGCAGTCACTCCCCCTTGGATAGAAGAGGCGTCCTGCTCCTGCAGTGTCACCCCTGAACTAATATCCCCAACATTCTGCAACCTGGCATATTTGTTGGGGTTAATCAGATCAAGGCTGACCTCTCTCACACTCTTCCCTCTACCCCTCCTTCTAACAGTAACCCAACTATCCACCTCGGGATCCTGCTCCACCGACCCCACTCCTCATCTATGCCGCCCTCCAACAGAGCCTGGTGCATCAGGTCCAGACTCTTTTCCATGTTGGTTATGCTCCTTAGTGTTGCCAGCTTGTTGCTTAGATCCAGAATCTGGGCTTCCAAACAAACAACTCGCTCACGTCTGATGCTGGCTCCGTCCGTCCCTCCGATTCGTCCGGCCCTGCGTCCTTGGTCTTGCTCGATGCTCGAACGATAGTATCAATTAGTGAGTAATTAATAATTAGTAATAATCAATTACTAAATAAATCCCCTCAGATAAAATACTTGAAGACTAGCTGATGTTTACAAATTAACACCCGCCGTAGATATATTCTTAGGGCCTAGCCTAAACAAATGGGTTAAATTAGTAGGTAAATTAGTACTACAGCCTTGAGTCTTGATTCACACAACAGCCCTGGGGTTAAATCCCCCTATAGCCCTGTGTGAAATAGGAATGGAGATGGAATGTCCAGGAGATCAACAGCTAAGATGCGATTGTTCTGTGACTTGAGATCTCGCCAAAAGGGTAGAATCTTAGGGCATTCCCACCAAACGTGTAGGAGTGTTCCAGTGTGATCACATCCTCACCAACAGAAAGGAGATACTAATGGATGAATACCCTGTTTCCCGAAAATAAGACCTACCCCAAAAATAAGACCTAGTACTATTTTTGGGAATTGCTTAAATATAAGACCTACCCCGAAAAAAAGACCTAGTTGTGACCATTCCCAGGGCCGGTGGTGGCATAAGGGGGTACTTGAAGAGCCGCGGGAGAGAATCAGCGGTGCCAATGAAGCCAGCACTAGAGGAAGCAAGGCGGCAGCGGAGGTAGCAGAGCCGCATAAGCCGGTGCTTCCTCTATAGCGCGGGCTCCTGTCACTGGCGGAGTGATACAAAATGCACTCCGCCTGTGAGGAATCGATAGTGAAAGTGTGCTTCGCTCATTCTGGCCAGTGATTGGTTAGCAAATTGCTCTTGGAAAGGTACGGCACCCCTGATTGCTCTGATCACCATTTTTTTGTACCTGAAGACATGTAGACTGTTGTACATGAATAAGTGTGGATTGTTGTACATAAAAAAAAATAAGCCCAACCCCAAAAATAAGACCTAGCGTGTTTTTTTGAGCCAAAAAAAATATAAGACAGTGTCTTATTTTTGGGGAAACACGGTAGCCCCAAGATGTGAAGGGACAATATCATCGGGTTAAAAGTTTATAGCAAGTTTCCTGTGTCTGAGCATCATTAGAGGATTTATGTGTGAAATGGAAAAGATGGGTTAGCTGATCATGACAGAATGTGCTATATATCCCAGTCCCTCTCCCATTCCCTAAGAAAGATCAGGTTGTCGTTAGACAGCATTGTCAAAAGCATTTGATAGAAAAGTGACACAAGTTTACATGGGGTTCTGAAGCTGCACATAGGGATTCGAAAAAAATAAATGTTTTATATTTGTACCAGACGTGTGGTTATGTATCACATATTTGATGGGTCGATGGACTCTTCACATACAGTATCAACAGACATGGATGGCTGCTGTGAAAAACCCATGAGTACTGGAAGCTGTGTTTTGGATATAAACTGTCTTATTACTGCAAACATCAATTAATCTGCACATTTGGCAGGCTTTCCACAGACTAAGGGCAAGGGTTCTTCAATTAGCGTCTGCCATGTGGATATATGTTACTCGGCTGAATTCAAGAGCACATATTTGAAAGCAAATTGATAATGAAAAGTGTTTATAAGGATCATTACTGCGGATGATAACTCCATAGTAGATCAGCACTTTAATTGTCAATGGAATTGGATGACCTTTTTAAATTTTCTCTTTGCTGTTTAACACTTTCTCATGGTTATACTCTATATCCCAACTATACTGAAAGATGTTTTTTTATATATATTATAATCACACCATAGGGTAAATATCAAGGACACTAAACTTTGTAAATCTAATACGCTGAGTATAACTATTATATATTCACCACTGTATATATGTTACTGTAAAGACTGAGAAGGGAATTTATCAAAACTGGAGCAGACAAAATACAGAGCAGCTGTGCATGGCTTCTTTCATTCATTTTTCAAATCTTAGCTGAACAAACTGAAGAGCTGATTGGTTGCCATGCACAGCTGCTCCAAATTTTGTCTGCTCCAGTTTTTATAAACCCCCAGAGTGTTTTTTGATTTGAACAGAAGACCATGTATTTTAATAGCTTATTATTGGCTGGTATACAGTATGACTGGAGACCTGGTGATCATGTTTTAGAGGATTTTAATATATGTACAGTGAAGCTTTAAAGCGGAACTCCAGGCACACAGCTAAACACACAGATTAAATGAATATATGATAGCTGTTTTGCATGCCAAAGATTCATATTTTTGTTCATCCAGTCTTGAGCTTTACATAGCACTGATACACAACAAAGCACCACCTAGCAGGTCATAAGAGGTGATTTTTCTCTGCTGCAGTGTAGTAACACTTACAGGTTTCCTACCTCCACCAACCTGTGATTGGATAGTGAAAGAAGAAAAAGCAGACTGATGAGCTAATCTGTCTATCACTCTACTCTTTACTCCTATCAGCATGCTCCTTGCACTGCAGCACAATTGGCTCTACTTTTTGTGTCTTTTCCTTCCACCCAGTCCGAATGTGGTTGTACCGGAACTGCTTACAGGAACTTTCACTAATCGCATTTAATTTGTGTATTTTATTTGCCTGGAGTTCAGCTATGCATTTTATATGCCAATGCAGGCTGTATATTAGGTTTATAACAATATTTTGATTAATGTGATTTTGTGTCACTTGATCTGAATAGAGGTCCTTTTTTGGTGGGGGGAGTATATAATAAAAGTGACAATGGGCATATGATGATATGTGTGCTCTTATCTTAGGCTTTTTATTTAAAATATTTGAAAAACAGTGCAGGTTCATTTAATGGCTGAGCCAGTGGATTTGTCAATCTTTTGGCACTTACCATGGGACATCGTCTCTCTAAACGTCTTCTAAAAGCACTTTTTAGTTTGACGTGAATGATTTTTATTTTCAATTAAAAAATAAAAAGTAAAATGAGAACAATCAGCCTATTTTTCTATATGATTTTAATCAGTGTCTGAAATGTTTCGAAATCCTTGATAGCCATGATAATTCTTGTTAATCATAAAATCCTGACATTGGTGACAATGATCACTTTTATTAATCATATAAGATGTTGTAAGCATTCATTACTAACCCATAAGCAGTCGTATTATCAGGCTGTCCTGTATATGACTTTCCTCTCTATTTTAGTCACATTGTCACACTCTTTTCTTCTGGGCTGTAATTCCATTCCACATGTTTTTGACACTTTCCAACTATGTAAACCTTCAA